TTTGAAATAATGTTGGGATCATGTGGTCAATGAGGAATACCCACATTATTAAACCATAGTTATTTCCGCAACTAATGTTGAGTGGATCTTCATGTGAGATCATTCAAAATAAAACCTCATGAAATTTGAGCATCACAGACAAGGCAACTTCTGTTGCCCATCCCGAATGTCCCTTTGGAAGCTGGTATTGCTGTTGTCCATGTAGTTGGGGCCATATACAATGCTTTAGGAAGGAAGTTCCAAGATTCTGACTGAGTGACACCGAAGGAGCAATGATATAGCTTCTCGACAAGTTGGTGTGTCGTCTGGAGGGAAGCTTGTAGGTGGTGGTATTCATATGCATTTACTAGCCTGCTTCTATGTGGAAGTGCTTGTGGGTTTGCAGTCTGCTGTTAAAAGAGAGGTGGTGAATTGTTGCATTGCATTTTGTAGATCGTGGACATTGCTGCCACTGTAAGTCATTGGTGGATGGGATACACATCAAGCAGACTGCTTTATCCTGGATAGTGTTGAGCTGTTGTCGGAGTGTACTCATGTAGGCAAGTAGAAATTATACCAACTTTTATTGACTTGTGCCTTCCCATGCTCTGTGAAGTTAGCTGAGTTATAGGCCACACACTTGCCTGCCTGTTATATTTATTATATTTATCTGGATGGCCCAGTTAAGTTTCTGGCCAGTGGTAACCCCCAAAATGTTTGTGTGTTAAAGGCTTAGCTTCAGTAATGGAAATGCCACTAAATGTCATAGAGAAATAGTTAGGCTTTTGTGGATGATAGTCATTGCCTAGCACTTGTGTGAAATGCATGTTCTTTGCCATTTCTCAGTCCAAGACTGAACTAAATCAGCAAGCAAGCACAATATCTGAGTAATTACAAATGGTACTGATATCATCAGCAGACATTCCTACTTCTGACATTGTGATGCAGTGAAGTTCATTGAAGAAGCTGAAAATGGTTCGCTCTAGAGTCCTTGCAAGTAGCCTGAGAAACTCTTATAGCAGTGTTCTAGGTTGGCCTCCCATAACTGCAATCAACTTCCTTTGTGCTATGTTTGATTCTAATGTGGTATCAAAGCAGAAAGTAATGTCAGTAAAGAGAAAACTGAAATGACACAAGGGGAAGCAGTTGCACTCCAGTAGCGCTGACTGGCCCAGAGACCAAACACAGTGAAGAAATTCATGAGCATGATTTTATAAATGAATTTTATCACTTCAACTCAAATTTGGTAGCAGTTTTTTGTAAAGTAAGCGTTATTTTTCAATTGATCTAGCAAATTTAAGTGGTTTCATTTAATCTTGCTGCATCATGGTAACTTAAGATTACATGAGCTAAGAGCATGAGTAGGTAGTCAGCCCCTTAAGACTGAGGCATTATTCAATAAGATCATGGCTACAATTGATTATGCCTCAAAACTACTAACCTGTCTGTTTCCCCATTACTGTTGATGACTTATCGATCAAAAGCCTTAAACTCAGCCTTGAAAATACTCAACGACCCAACTTCCACTATGGTATGAAGACAAAACGTCTTCAGACAAATGACCCTCTGAGAGAGGAATTCTTCTCAGCTATGTCTTTAATGGGATCCCCATAATTTTTAAGTTTTCCCTTTGTTTCTAGGTTCCCCAGAAGGGGGGATAAAAAAAACTTCCCTTGCATATCCATCTCAGGCTTTTCCCTTCTTAACTTAAACCTGTACCCCCTAGTATTTGACATTTCCACCTGGTTGGGCTATCCAACTATCCATGCCTCTCATAATTTTATATTCTTCTATCTTGTTGCCCCTCAGCCTCCAGTGCTCCAGTGAAAACAATCCAAGTTTGTCCAATCTTTCCTTATAGTTAATACATTTCAATTAGGCAACATCCTGACAAACCTCTTCTGCACTCTCTCCAAAGCCTCCACGTCCTTCCTATAGTGCAGCAACCAGAATACTCCAAATGTGGCCTAACTAATGTTTTATATAGCTGCAACTGACTTGCCAACTTAGTGTTCCAACTGATAAAGGCAAGCCTGCTGTATGCCTTCCTTATCACCTTATTCACTTGTGTTGCTGCTTTCAGTGAACTATGGACTTGCACCCCAAGATCCTTCTGTATACCAATGTTCCTTAGGGTTCTGTCATTCACTGTATACTTTCCTCTCGTATTTGACCTCCCAAAGTGCATCGCCTCACACTTGTTTTGAATCCAGTTTGCCAACTTACCAAGGATCTCAAGCAACTTAATTTTCTGGACCAGCCTACCATCAGGAACCTTGTCAAGTACTTCGGTAAAGTCCATGTAGACAACGTCTACTGTGCTACCCTCATCATCTTTGTCACTTCCTCAAAAACTCAATCAGGTTTTTGAGACAAGACCCGCTCTCTTCACAAATAAAGCCATGCTGACTATCCCTAATAAGTCCTTTGTTTCCAAATGTGAGTAAGTTCTGTCTCTTAGAGTCTTCTCCAATAATTTCTCTGCAAATGATGTAAGGCTCACTAGCGTATACTTTTCTTGGATTATCAATGTTGTCCTTCTTCAACAAAGGCACAACATTGGCTATTCTCCAGTTTTCTGGAACCTCACCTGCGGCTAATGAGCAAAGAAAGATCTCTGTCAAGGCCCCAGCAATCTCCTCCCTTTCCTCCTAGATCCCATCAGACCCTGAGGACTTATCTACCTTAATGTTAGGTGCCTTGAAAAACATCACTTCCTTAATATCCTCCTAACATGCTCTAGAATATGGAAACACTGCTTCCTTGTTTTACCATCATCCATGTCCTTCTCCTTAATGAGTAATTTGCATCTGTATGCACTAAGGGCTTCACGCATAAATTCACTCCTTTGAAATGTTGTGGATCTACCCTTCCCCTAGTAACCCTCTTGCTCCTAATGTTTGCATAAAATGCATTTGGATTATCCTTAATCCTACTTGCCAACTCAAATATATTTGTTAAGCACATTTACACTCTGCAGTCTTCCAGTCTGCTGTGACTTCTCCAGGATCATGAGAATTTTAGAAGATTAGAATCAATGTATTCATTGTCTGTGCAGCCACTTCTTTCTCAGACCTTAGGATGCAGGTCATTAGATCTGGAGACTTGTCAGCTTTAATTCCCATTAGCATTCCCATTACTTTTTCTCCAGTGATAGTAATTATTCCAAAATCCTCCATCCCTTTCGGTTCTTGGATTTCTATTGCTGTTTTTATATCTTATATTTTGAAGACAGATATAAAATACTTGTTCAAAGTCAAAACATTTTGGTGTTTCCTTTATTAGTTCCCCAGACCCACCCTTTAAGAGAACAGTGTTTACTTTAGCTACTCACTTCATTGTATATACATAGAGTCATACAGCACAGAAACGGACCCTTCAGTCCAACCAGTCGACGCCAAACATAATCCCAACTAATCTAGTCTCACCTGCCTGCTCTTGGCCCATATCCCTTCAAACCTTTCCATTTCATGTATCTATCCAAATGTCTTTTAAACATTGTAATTGTACCCACATCCACTTCATCAGGAAGTTCATGCCACACGCGAACTACCCTCTGCAAAAAAAATTTGCCCCTCATGTCTTTTTTAAATCTCTCTCCTTTCACTTTAAAAATGTGCCTCGTAGTCTTGAAACCCCCATCCTCGGGAAATGGCAACTACCATTAACTCTATCTATGCCTGTCATTAGTTTATAAACCTCTATCAGGTCACCTATCAACCTCCTACACTCCAGTGAAAAATGTCTCAGCCTTTCCAGCTATCCTATCTAACGGAAGCCTTCCATACCTGGCATCATCCTGGTAAATTTCTTCTGAACACACTCTGGCTTGATAATATCCTTCCTGTAACTGGGCAACCAGAATTGGATGCAGTATTCCGGAAGAGGCCTCACCAATGTCCTATACAATCTCGACACAACTTCCTATCTCCTATACTCAAAGGACTGAGCAATGAAGGCAAGCACGCCAAATGCCTTTTTAACCATCCTGTCTGTATATGACATAAACTTCAAAGAATTATGTACCTGCACTCCTATGTCCCTCTATTTTACCACACTACCCTAGGCCCTACCATTAATTGTATAAGTGCTAACCTTGTTTGTTGTACCAAAATGCAAAACGTCACATTTATTGTAGAAGCTTTTTCTCTGATTTAAAATTCTTTCTAGTTTTCTCACTCACTCCAATTTCTAACCCATCTAGTTCATAATTTGATGCAGTTTTAAAGCATTCTGGAAGTCTATGCAATTTTCACTTGTTTCTCTTTTAATGGATTGGAGGGGGTGAGCGTGTAGCTGCGCTGGGAGTTGAAGAAAATGTTCTTTATTCTTCGTGTCTCTCCAATTCTTCGCGTGACCCTGAGGTTTACTGCAATTGTTGTATGATAGCAGAAGTTTAGGGGAAGGCGATAAATGGAAGTTTGAAGAATAAATGTTCAACATAAGGTTATTTTATTGAACAGTAGTAGATTGAATTGTTCTGTCTAATTGTTCATTAACAGTGTTATGTTACAATGAGGTTGCATTGATGCAAGTTTTAAAGTGTGATCTTTGAGTTAATTCTGTCTTGTCCCTTCCATGTTTCAGACTTTAGACTCACTAAATTATGTTGATGAGATATTTGAATGCAGTAATAGTCATTATTTGATCTGGCAACTCAATGCAAACTGACATTCACAGGAAGCCTGCCTCCACGAGGTACTGTCTTTATTAGAACCGTTGTGGGCTGCAAAGGCGAGGATGAAGAATTGTTTCTGTTACTTGCACATTTCCCTGTAGTTAAATTAGTGCCTGATATATTCACGTTTTTGTTGAGGGTTCGAGTAAGTTGCTGAAATTCTTTTAGATATGAGAAAACTAGCTGCTGAAGTACTTTACAATCACATTTTGTTTTTAGCAAGCTTCAAGTTAAGATTTCTTAATGTTTGGTGTCAAACAGTATTTTTAATTGTGCCAATGTTGAATTGGTGGAAACCAATATATCTAAAATGTTTTAACTTATGTTGTTGATTTCTGAACAGAACCCATGAGGTCACCAAAAAGCCTGAAGATTGCAGAGATATATGCTAGACACCTGGCTGTTGAGTTGGAGTCTCTGGGCTACAATGTAACACGGTGTCACACATTCAATGTTACCGTGTGCTACCATTACTTTGGACACAACACAAGCAAAGCTGACTGCATGGAAATGGATCAGAAATCACCCCGACATATTATTCAACACCTGCCACCTTACACAAACATCAGCATTAAAATGATTCTGATGAATCCAGAAGGAAGAAAGGAGAGTGAAGAGGTTGTCATCCAGACAGATGAAGATGGTAATTATTATCCTTTCATTGTCATTATTACTGTGCATTTATTTTCTAACTTTATGCGACTTTCCATTTTATTCAATGACTTCGAAAATTCATTAATTTGCAGCCTTCTGAAAAGTGTGCCTTTTTCGAAAAAAGATAACATCTTTGGGGTAAATTTATGGAGATTTCATTAACTGTGGGCAAATACGTTCAAATTAGTTAGATTGCCACGGACACTAGTCAGGTTATTGGTGTGTATTTAAAAATATATCTGTGCTGAAGAATAGCAATGTTTTATCTTTTGATAGAATTAAAGAAAATATATTTTGTGGCCCTCCATAATTGTATATATTAAAAATGGTTTTTGAACAATGTGTGAAGTGTAGAGGATGAGGTATTAGCCACAGGGGTATTGGAGTTGATGATACTTGAGGTGACAAAGGTGCAGAAATGCACTTCAGCTTAAGAATCCAGTTTAGATAGAAGTGGGCAAAATTATGGAGGTAAGTTGGCAAAGCAAACAGTGGTTGTGCACTAATAATGTAGTCGAGTGAAGCAGGACAAGGACCATTATACTTGACTATCCAGCAAAGGAGACAACTTGGAATGTGACTGAGATATCAATTTTGACAAAACAAGCAAAGAAGTGGAGGAGAAATTATGTTCAGAGATGTAGTGAATATCATTTTTCAAGTCAGTTAGGACTATTTTAGTACCCTGGGTAGGAATGAAAACTTATTGCAAGGATTTGAGTATGGAAATAAGGAAGAGATAGACACAGAACTAGGAGGGTGAACTCATGTCCAAGAACTTGGAAAACAAACTTAGACTGGAGCTGTAGTAGTACTTTGCAAGGTCAGATGGGTGCCAAGTGTTTTTTCATTGCACTGAAAATAGTCTTAACAAGAGGAGAAAAATATCTGAGGAGCACTCATTATTTGCCTAAAGTATCTTTGCAGTTGTAGTTCAAGTCTTAATTAATGTACTTTTTTTAGCATAGTTCCTGAGCATAGGATATACATTGGTCGAGAACACTAATAGCATTCCAAAAATACTAACTCATTAAGGGGCTGGGTGTGGGAGGGGTGAGGTGGAAAACACATGAGCTATCACTAAGGTATCACTAATGGAGTTAAAGGCTGATAGATCCCTGGACCTGATGGCTTGTATCTGAGCATTTTAAAGGAAGTAGCTGCAGAGATAGTGGGTGCACTGGTACTAATCTTCTAGAATCCTTAGATTTTGGAACAGTCCCAAAGGACTGGAAAGTTGTTATAGGCCAGTTAGCTTCACATCAGTTGTTGGGAAAATTTATGTCTATTCAAAAGGATGTCATAGCACAGCATTTAGAAATGCATAATATGATCAAGCAGAGTCAGGATGCCTTCAGGAAGGGGATATCATGACTGACAAAATCATGAAAGTACTTTGAGGAGGTAACAAGCACGATAAATAAAGGGAAACCAGAGATGTAGTACATTTCGATTACCAAAACATGTTCAATAAGGTACCACAGGTTAGACTGCTGAGGTAATATAATGTTATGGATAGAAGATTGGCAAGATGTAATTAGTAGAGTGTCACAGGGATCAGTGCTGGATCCACATTTATGTACGACCTATTGATGACTGACATGAAGAAAGAGAATGTAGTTTGGCAAAGCTTTTGGGTAATACAAAAGTAGGTGGGAAGGCAAGCGGTGAAGATGACAGGAGGAGTCTACAGAAGATTATAGACTGGTTAAGCAGATGGAATATAATGTTGGAAAATGTGAGGTTCTGCACTTTGGCTGGAAGAGTGAAGAAGTTGAATGTTATTTAAGTGGAGAAAAACTGCAGAAAGCTGCAGCACCGAGGGACTTAGGGAATCCTCATGCATGAATCACAAAAGCTGGCATTCAGGTCCAGCAAGACATAGGGAGGACTACCTTTATTTAGGAATGCTGACCTTTATTTCGAATAAAGCATAAAAATAGAGATGTCTTGGTAAAACTATACAAGGCAGTAGCTGCAACGTCATGAACAGTATTTGGTCCCTTATCTAAGGAAAGATATACTGGTATTAGAGGCAATCTAGAGAAAGTTCCCTGGACTGATTCAGGGGATGGAGGGATTTTCTCATGAGGAGAGGTTGAGTCTGTTGGGTTTGTACTCATTGGAGTTGAGATGAATGAGACACTACTTTCTTGAAACATTCTGAAGAAGCTTAACAGGATATATATTGCGAGGTCTTTCCCCATATGGGAGCATAGTCTCAGAGTGAGGGGTCGTCCATTTAATGAGAGGTGAAGAAGAATTTTTTTTCGGGGTAGTGAATCTTTGGAATTCTGTACAGCAGAGGGCCAATGAGGCTGATTCATTAAGTATATTGTTGCGAAGTTGGTATAGTACTTGTGGATTAGAAGGCGGGACCTTAGAATTTGTTTATGAAATAATAGAGGAAGAGAGTGCGTGGTCCCTGTTTTAAAAATATGTATATTTAGGCTTGGAAATTTTTTTAAAAAGTCCGCAGGGAGCAGCAGATGCACAAAGTGGTATTGAAATTGAAACATTGTGTCAAAAGGCTATACTGTTAGCAGGTGAAGCAGTATTTTTACCAATAGGTTTTTGAATTTAGCCAATTCATTTATGCCAGCCCTAGTTACCAAATCCCAATTAAATGAGAGAGACGTTTTTCCAATCTATAAGGGAATCAAGGGTTATGGGGAAAAGTCAGGAAAGTGGAGTTGCAGATTACCAGATCAGCCATGATCTAATTGCATAGTGGAGAATACTTAATGGGGCAAATGACCTATTTCTGATCCTATATTTATTGGTCCTAGTGCAAACAATCTAGTTTGGGTTTCATTATTTTAGAACCTTGGCCACAATCCATTTTAAATGAATAAGGTGTACAATTTGATATTCACTTTAGAATCTCAAGCCATAGCATTCAACTGGCAAATATCTGTGCAAGTCCACTAACATCTGAGGTGTTGTTGCAAAGTCCCAGCAATAACTTTCACTTTGATCATTGCTTGTATTGGAAGTCATGTGTCGACTGAAGGATTTCTTCACCGACTGTTGTAATGTACAATGCTTACTGTCTCTGTCTTGTATTTGACTAGCACAAAACTGTGGAATATTGACATCAAGTTGTACACCATAATACCACAGAATAATGACCTAGATTTTACAGTCCACAAATTAACGGTGCTTGTTCCTGACTTCAAAATCTGCCTTCAAAGATCTATCTCAGTGTCATAGATTTCACTTTACGCAGTGCTAATTTCATTATAGTGTGTTGTTGAGAATCTTCGGAATGATCAAGCAGCTGATCATGTTTAAGAATTCTTATATTTAAAAAAAAATACACAGGTAAACATGTAATCCTTTCTGTTAATGACTTTATTTTGAATTGATCATTTCACAAATTAATATGACAAAACTTTTCTTCATTTTTGGGTTCTTCATTTTATTCGTGTTGTTCCTCCACTCAAACAATGAATGGCTCAGGGGGGTGTTTCTCATTCCCATAAAGAGAATCCTGATTTCTCAGGCTTTGCTGAAAGGCATTTAAATAAATCCAATTTTAAAAGAGGCCACCTCTTAATAGAGGGGTTTTGTTCCCCCAAAATTTCTGTGTTGAAACAAAAATGTTTTCCAAATAAGATATTTATGCTCAGATTAGACCTGTTTGTGTTTGAAGTCACTCCAATGTTTATCGCTGGAGTAGAGTAAAGAATATTGCAGTAAGCAAATATTGCCTAGCCCTGCAACCTGCTGTCATGCCTTTCATTCTAAATGTGCTGTACTGCTGTAATTGTGTACTATCGTTGGTTGCCAAGACGGTAGTAGTTGCCATGGTTAACATGTTGAGTTTTTCAGCACAGATGGACAGTACAAGTACAGTTGAGTGTTGGCTTTTCTATCTGAGTATACAGCAGGATCATCAGGAATTTGTTGCAATTATGTACCTCTTCCCAGGGGTAAGATTCCTATTCACACTTTTGGAATAAATTCTACAAAATTTGAAGTGAGAAGATTGATATGTTGAATCAAAATTTGAACTCATTTCCAACTCAGGAGGTAAAATGCAATCTAATTACAGAAAAAGGATAGACATCGCTGTCAGCAACCAAATACATCTACCTGAATTGGGCAAATTTTACCTCGAACAGCAGTTATCATAGGTTAGTATCTGTGTGCCGGTAACAAAACTGTATTCCACTGTATCCAGTTAATCTAAAGAAGCTAGATTGTGATTATTTTGCCAGACTCTCCTATCAACAAACACCGTGTAGATTGAGGAATGAGAACTTTCTGTTCTAATTCTATTGTTGCACATCAACACATCCCCTCTCTTCTTTCTCTTTCTCTCTTGCCTTTCATCTTTTTTCTGTCTGGTTTAGTTTATCTATAAACTTCATTTTGTATGCATTTGTAAAACCTAATCAAAATAGAACAAGTTTTCCAATATTATCCTGGTATAATCTTGGATTATTGAAGATTTGCTTGCCGGATCTTGAGTTCCTGACATGTCCCAAACTTAAAGCGTTTCCAAAAAGAGATATTGCCTAACGTTCTGATTACTGTCCAGCCTACAATATAAGTGAGTGGCACTAAGAGAAGTCAGATACAGCTATGGCAGCTGGTTAGTTTTTACCTAACCAAGAAGGAAAGAGTACATATTCCTACCAGTGACAGTTTTTCAGATTGATGGGCACAGATTTAAAATAGGGGTAACTGCTGTCAAAACCTTCACATTTGAATTGACTCTGAGGTGAACTTCAGATTCCACATCCTCCCTATTATAAAGACTGCCAACTTTAATATTCATAACATCATCCACTTCCAATCTACTTTACCCAATCTGCCAAAAATGACCACTCCAGCCTTTGTCTCTCCCCAGAGCCCTCAACCCTCCATCACTCTGCATCATTCTCCAGTCATACATCTTCAAGACCTGTGTTCCTTCAACTCTAGTCATTTGCATTTCTGAAAACGCCTTTGTCCAACCATTTGCAGCCATACATAAAGCAG